AACTTAATGATTTATGTTATAGTGATCAAACTCAAACAAGATTTTAAGGTTCATATTTCTTACCAGTTTTTTTTTAATGGCACAATGTATAGATAACACATTAAATTACATTTAAATGTTTCACTGAAAAGGGTCACTTTATTGAAAGAGTAAACTGAAAAAATTTGGATGCAACATTTAACAACCAGTACAGTTTCTTTATTCTGCAAGGAATTCTTCTCCCTTTACCTTACCTGAGGAGTAAACACACTTGCTTTGTATAAAAAAAACCTAAAACAGACTGGGAATTCAGAATTTATCTATCCTCAGACAAGAAAGCTCTCTACTCCTATTTGGTACCAGGCCAGCAACAAGCTGGCCTGTGCCTCTTACACGGCTATTTTTGTCAGATTGGTCCATATGACTGTGGGACTACTGTCATAGTTTCACTCCTCACACCTTTCCTGGGGGATCATGTGGACCTTTTACACAGCTAGATCAAATTGGTAACTTAGAGCCAGCCAGTGTTCATCTAGAACACTCAAAACCTTCTCCAGTTAGCATTTCTAAATGCTTAGCTCCAAGTTTCAAGTAGAAGTTTCTGCTATTAAATCCTAAATCCACTACCTTGCATTCCATAGTACTGAATTCCATCCCATTTCTATTACACCCACCCTCAAGTTCTTTCAGTTCTTTCTTTATGATGTCCTGGTCCTCCTCTGTATTGATAATGCCACCCAATATTATGACATCAGCACCTATTTACTATTTACACTATGAACATTAAGAAACACATTAAACAAGATTCACCTGATTAATCCTGGGAAGTTCCACTAGTAATCTTTTACTTAAATTGCATTCAAAACTTTAAAAAAAATATTTCAAATTGAAATACAAATCACTTTTAAACCACCAACAAATGTATTGTAGAATGTGCAGGAAAACTACATCCTGGCATAGAATAATGCAAATGAAATTATTTATCAGAGAGCAAAAGTACACTCCAAAGAACAGGTAGCTTTAAGTATGACTTTGGAGAAACTATTTTCTTCTGCTCATAAGAAAAGCCAGTGTTGACTTATAACTGACCAAAGTGCTGTCAATCAAGAAAAATGATAAATGGCACACAGCAGACCATAAGTTATAGAAGAACAACTATAAAACTTTGGTTCCCAAGGTCCAGGGTTCTAATGTCAATCATAATTCTAATGCTAGTTATTTCCTATATATCAACTTATCTTCATTTAGGGTTACCAATTTGTAACATGATTATAATTATGCTTATACACAATATAGAAGTATTGTAAACTTTATGTTTATACATTTGTTCAACTACATAAAACCCTATATAATAGTTATTTATTGTTGTTATAACTCATAGAAAAGTAGGATTGGAAGGGACCTCAGAAGGGCATCTTGTTCAAACGCCTGCTCAGAGCAGGACTATCTCCAGCTACATCATCCCAGTAAAGGTTTTGTCTACCTGGGTCTCAAAACCCTCCAAGGATGGAGCTTCCACCACCTCTCTGGTTAGCCTGTTCCAGTATTTTCCTAGTCAGAAAGTTCTTCCTAATATTTACCCTAAACTTCCCCTACTGCAACTTGAGACCATTGCTCGTTGTTCAGTCATCTGCCACCATTGAGAACAGTCTAGCTCCACCCTCTTTCAAACCAACCTTCAGGTACTTGAAGGCTGCTATTAAATCCCACCTTAGTCTTCTCTTCTGCAGATTAAATAAGCCCTGTTCCCTCAGCCTCTCCTTAGAAGTCATGTGCTTGAAACCTCTAACAATTTTCATTGCCCTCTGCTGGGCTCTCTCCAATTTTTCCACATCCATTCTGTAGTGAGGGGTCCAAAACTGAACACAGTACTCCAGATGTAGCCTCACCAGTGCAGACTAGAGGGTAATAATTACTTCCCTTGATCTGCAGGCAATGCTCCTACTAATGCAGCCCAGCATGCCATTAGCCTTCTTCAAAACCAGAACATACTGTTGGCTCATATTTAGCTTATTGTCCACTGTATCCCCCAGGTCCTTTTTAACAGAACTGTTGCTTAGCCAGTTGGTCCCCAGCCTGTATCAGTTCATGGGATTGTTTCATGTTAAGTGCAGGACTTTGCACTTGTCCTTACTGAACCTCATGAAATTCTTTTGGTCCAATACTCCAATTTGTCAAGGTCTCTCTGAGTCCAAGCCCTACCCTCCAGTGTATCCACTACTCCACCCAGGTTGATATAAATCTTCAAACTTGCTAAAGGTGTACTCTATGCCATCTTCCAGGTCTCTGATGAAGATACTGTACAAAACCAGCCCCAGGACCAACCCCTGGGGCACTTCACTTGATGCTAGCTGCCAACTAAACATCAAGCCATTGACTACTACCCTCTGAGCCTGATGTTCCAGCCAGTTTTCTATCCACCTTTACAGTCCAGTCATCCAATCCAGACTTCCTTAGCTGGCCTGTCATAGGAGACCAATCTGTAGTGCCCCAGATCCTCCTACTTTTTCTTAAAGACAGGCAGTGTATTTGCTCTTTTCCAACTGTCCAGGACCCCTCCTGATCACCATGAGTTTTCAAAGATGATGGCTAGCAGCTCTGCAATCACATTGCCCTACTCCCTCAGCACCCTTGGGTGCATCCCATCTGGCCCCATAAACTTGTACATGTCCAGCTTTTATAAATAGCCCCTAACCCGTTAGCCACATGGTCATAGAGCTGACAACCAAGGCTGATAATATTTTGGTACAAAATAGTAGCTTTGTATAATATTTACTTTTTGTTTTTTCAGAAATTATTCACTCACTATTCATTCTAAAAACCTAATGAAAGATTAAAACTCAAATTCATACTCAAGAGCATTTTTATTTTCTTTATCTTAACCACAAGGTGATTTGTCATAAGAATGGCTCATGGCCCAGCATGAAGAGCAACAAGCCTTTTTTTTAAGCATATTAATTGACTTTGTAAAAAAAGGTATTTTTAAAAATTTTGACACTCCAAGATCTTTTACACAGAATTTTCATTGAAGTCAAAGAGGTATTCACAGAGCGGGTTTGTGGAATCAACTGTGCCCTTAATATCTGAAGCCTTGCCACTTTAATGGTACCTTTTGAAATAAAAGACAGATCAGAGAACAATGACTAAGCAGCTAAATATCAAAGGACAAAGGTGAGACAAAAAATAGCATAAACAAAGTATGACAAACTTTTTTAAGGAAACCCACTGACTGAAGAAAACTTAAATTTCAAAAATATCTAAACATGTTAAGTGTGAAACAACTTACATGCAGATCTCTGGAGAGAGTTACATTGCTCATGTCAATTGCTCGGGGGCTGTAACCATGGGCAGTGTCCACAGAAACCTAAATGGTAAACGTAAAAATGAATAAAACAATAAAAATACTTGGTATAAGGATTTGTCAACAAGGTATTGCAGGTAATGAAATAACTAAAGGAAAATCAATGTGAATACAATTAATGCAAAAGCACACATATACCTACGGGGAAGGAAAAGAAAGCAGTTGACAGTTTAATTATTTTGTGTTATTTTGACTACCTGACTGCAGTAATACTAAAGACAGTAAAAAAATACACCTCAATTGGGTATAGGTTGAATAATGTAAATTTAAGTCTGGTAATTACAATGTAAAGTCAGCCAACTATTTCCAGGGAAAGGTCACAATCAAATAAATATCTCCTTTACTAAACTGCAAATGTACTTGAACATTGTTAGTTCTCTACAAAAACCCCTACCCAAGCTCAAGTTTCTGTCCTGGTGCTTGGATCCAAAAGCTGCACCAGTTCCACTCCTTTTCTGCCTGGAATCCCTCCACTGGCCACGCTGAGGGCTCTGCCTGTCTGCAAGCTCCAACAAACACTGGGGAACCTCAACTGGTTCAAGCTTCGCTGAGTGGTGAGACCCCAACTCTCTCTCTCTCTCTCTCTCTGACTTTTGCTTTCTTACTCCAGGCATAGCTTCTAAACCTGACTTTTGCTAATCAAATTTGAGCTAATACCTATCCCCAAATACTTAACTGAAACTATGTAATATTGTAACTCTTTTGTCTCTCTTGTATGTCTATTACTACTGGTATCATCATAAGTTTTAATATACTTGGCAATAAATAACTTTTATGGTCAAGCTGGTTGCTATACACTCTCTGAGAACCATACTTACTCTTCCTTCCCTTTGACGTCCCCATTTGCTCTGCAGCAACGCTTTTTTTACCTAAGCCAAAGATCCCCATAATGCCTAAAACTATGATGGGGTCTGCTCCATCAAAAGAGCTACTACTAGGACCATTGTGACAACTCAGCACATCCCAATCTCTTTTGAGGTGCATGAGGGTATCAGCTGAAAGTGCTGATCAGACCCAGCCTGCTCAGACACACACTGTTAGCATTCGTGTCTAACTGCATTTATTATTGTCCTGCTGGAGTTCAAGACACATGAGGGTGTCAGCCTGTCAATGATGAATAGTCTGGCCTGACTCGGATGTGCTTTTGTTAACCCTTGTGCTTCTGTCTGTCTGCATTTTCTTGTTGCCCTGATGAACTGAGTTCAAGGCATATGAGGGTGTTAGCCTGTCAATGTTAAATAACCCAGCTTGGATCAGGTGTATCCTGTTAATCTGTGTGTGTATGTGCGTATACGTGTTTGACTGATTCGGTGGTTGGAGGAACCCAGCCCCACTGAAACTGAGTCCTGCAAGTCCTGGGAGCTCATAGTATACCATAAACTGAATATGAGCTAACAATGTGCTCTTGTTTCAAAAAAAGCCAACAACATAATGGGTTGCTTTAGTAAGATGTGTCACTAGCAAATCAAGGGAAGTGATTCTTCTACTCTGTTCAGCACTAGTGAGGCCTCACCTAGAGTAATGTGTCCTGTTTTGGACCTCACACTTCAAGAAAAATAGGGACGGTTTGGAAAGAATCCAGGGCAGAGCAACAAAAATGATTACCAGCCTGGGAGACGAGACTTAATGAGAACAGGCTAAAAGAACTGGGGTTATTTATTCTGGAGAAGAAAAGATTGAGAGGGATTTGATAAGTCCTGAATACCTTTTAATACCTGAAGGGCTATTACAGAGAAGATGGAGATGGGCTTTTCTCTGTGACTGCAAGGGACAGGACGAGGAGCAATGGCCTCAAGCTTCAGCAGGGAAAAATTAGGTTGGAAATGAGGGGATACTGTCTGAATATGAGGGTGGTCAAACACTGGAACAGTCTACCTAGACAAACTGTGGAATCTCCATCCTTATGATTGCAAGAGCAGGTTGGACAGGCAGCTGACTGGGATGGTCTGAGTCAGGTATGATCCTGCCTAGAACAGGGGGCTGGAGTAGATTGCATTGTGAGGTCACTTCCAGCCCTATTTTCCTATGATTCCTTTGACTTGTTACATGGGTAATGTGAGATTACAAATACTGTTCTTTCTTTTTAAAATTATTTTATTTTTGTATGTCCATGAAATAATCTGGTAGGATGTAGATCCTGGGAAAATGCCTCCTCCTCCACAAGAGGTGGAGAGTTTAGTAGGAAAAAAATCAAAGGCAAATTGCCATCAGAAAGTAAATGGAAAATTGACCAATTGTTTTCTTCTGTTCTCTTTCAGTTACAATAAGTATGGGTGCCAATTGTAACACTAGGAGAGAAAAATATTGCCAAACAGAAATATTATTCTAAAAGATAGATCCTCCTTTAGATTCAGCACGCTGATGTAAGAAAACTGAAATTTAAAATCTGTGATTTGTGTTCAAGAATTTAAGATGATCAATTGTGACATTTAGATACTAAGAGCTAAGATACCCATTTATGCAGATAGGGTATACATGTGCTCCAGGAGTGGAGCTGCTCTAAAGTGCCCACAGCGTCACGTGTATCAGCATCCCTGTGCTGAAAAATGGTGGTGGGGGCAATTTAACTAAAGCTCATCCAATAAGTTTTAGTTAAAGCACCCTTCTCACCATTTTTCAATGTGGGGACACTGATACACATGAGACTGGAACTGCTGGAGCATGGTAATTACAGTATGTTGAAGCAGCCTCACTGCATGTGTACAGGCACCCATAGAGTGAAATCCTAAACCTGCTGAAATCAAAGATACAACACCTACTTACACTAGATTTGCCCCCTGAATTTCAATCTGTGGATCTTAATACTGTGTTGATCATACTGCTGAAACACTGTCTCTCTTTATAGCAGTGGTTCTCAACCTCATTAGACTCAAGGCACCCCTTGTTAGACTTACCACTCAGAAAATGCCAACTCTTAGCTTTAACTCAATTTTTGACTATGGAAAATAATCCAGCAATTATGATGTTGTAAAAAATTCATAAAGAAGACAACAAATAAGAGTATTTTGACACTAAAGATCCCTATTTGAAGTCTCTGAGTTTATCTTGTGAATAATGTGTATGTAGGTGTTTGCACACCTCACAGTGCTAATACTATGTGACACCCCATGGTACCCCTAAAGAGATCTCAGAACACTCTTGTTGAGAATTACTGCTTCATAGATTTGCATATTTTAAGGCCAAAAAAATCCACAACAATTACACAGCATGACACAGAGCAGCATAGAGGACCTCTTCCATTTTGAAGATTGCATCTAACATGATTTTTACCTTAATGACATTATATCTTTCAAGAATTGTTTTACTATATATTTATGTCCCAGAGTTAAACAAACCCTTTTGCAGGGTAGCTTATGAAAGAATAGACATAAGGATCAGTAAAATCATAAAAAAGTAGAGCTGGAAGGGACTTTAGGAGGACATCTAGTCTAACCCACTGCTCAAAGCAGAATCATCCTTATGTAAACCATCCCAGACAGCACTATGTCTAATATAAAAACTTCATGACGATGTATTTAGAAATACATACACTTTTGTGGCAACTGTCTGAAAACATATGCCTTCATTTCTCTCTGATATAGAACTTACAGTTTTTCTAAGAACTGCAATTCAAGAAGAACTATATCAGCTACCAAATGGGGATAGTAATTGATAAAATATATTCAAGTTTCCTCAGCTGGAGCTACACATATGGAAAAAAACCTAAATTCCTTGTAATCCTTATTCATCCTGTAATTCCTTGATCATAACTGCAGTTCTAATATCTGTATAACTTTAGTCAAGATTATATAGATTTACCCAGCTTCATTTGCTCAGATTTCTAGCTCCTTATTGACATAAAAATCCTCTCATGTCTAGATTATATACAAAGATATATGCTAATGTAAAGTTTCTAAATTTGAACACCACAAAAAACAGGAAAGAAAGAATTTAAGGCAGAATTTAATAGTGGCCTTCATTCATGGTCCTTCCAGGTTGTAGTTTGGACCTGCAAGGCATAAAAAACCACAGGGGTCCTAACAGGAAAGGTATGAGGAAGAGGCAAAGCTCAGTCCAGTCCCTTACCCTACCTAAGTGTCTGTGCTAATTGTGCAGAGGCAGAGTGATGAGGGAACATGAGAGAAGGGTGTTTCTATATCTTGCTGCTTGCCGATGATTAGCTAATGCATGTGTATGTGTGATAGAGACAGCGAGTTGACTGTCTCTCACAGCCTCTTGGTTAGATATAAAGCCCTCAAAGAATACAGTGTCCCTTCTGAAATTGGTCACTGCCCACCCCTTAGCACACACACAGTTCAGATTGTTTGGTGACCCATTGTTTCTCAGAGGTCTAGCCTTATACCATCTTCAGCCCATCAAAATATGTTTTTGAGTAGCAGGGACCAAAAACCTGGGAACAGAAAAGAAAAGGGAATTCAGGCTAAATAAAAAGTAAATGTCTATAAGGGAAGTGATAGTTGTAGAGGAACAGGCAGAGAGGATGCCTATGAGTTCAACCCACCTGGCTTAGCATTATAGGATAGCAGGCTATTATACATTTCTGAAGACTATATTTATATTATATTAGAACTCACCTCTTTCTCCAACTGCTTTATTCCAACAGTTAATATTAAAATATTCCTTGGTTTAAGAACTCTATCTGGTCATTATTTTCACTTGATAGTCACAGATCTCTGAAGCAGAGCTTCAGGGATCAAGGGGCATTTAAGTCAGTTACGTTACATAAGCCCAGAGACAGATCAACGAGTGGGACAACTGAATGATTTTATCCCAGAAGAGGCTGTCTGACATATGAAGGAATGGAATCAAAAAGACCAAAAAGGGGTCTAATGTGCACATAGCCCTGCAACCATGAAGGGGACAATACATTAGTTATTTGGCACAAGCCACTGTAATGGACCCAACCAAATGCCTGATTGATGTTGACTTCTTTGATTTGGTTTTGGGTAAGTGTGTTTGGGGGGGGGGGCAAAAAGGAAAAGGAAGTAGCCTTTCAATTTGGCTAAATACAGATATTCAAAAAGCCCGAGTCTGAATTGATTCAATCTTTGCAGGTTAGTCTAACCTGCATAGATTGAACCAATTTGCAAGTGAACAGACATTCACTTCTGATTCCAGAAATGCAGCCACATACCTGTAGTGACTCAGGCCAGAAGCCAGGGGTGTGGGGGGTGCTAAAGTGAGCTCTCCCCTCCTTTTGCAGTGGCCAAGGGAAGCTGAGCCCAGCCTGGCCTGTGCACAGCGAGGGGGGAACTATGCTCCCGGCAACTCCCACCCCACAATAGCCAGTTTTCTCCCTCTGCCCCACAATGGGGCCCAATGCTGCACCCCTCCAACCCTGAGGCAGCACCACACAGATCCCCCCACCTCTGCACCAAAGTGGAGGAGGAGGGAGAGACCCCACTGTGAGCCCAGCTCAGCCACTGAGGCAGTGCTGCACAGAGCCCTCCTCCCCCTGCCCTGCAATGGGAGTCGGGGTAAAGGGGAAGAACCCTGCCTGCCACAGCAGCTCCCTGACAGCCTAGCCTGGCCTGGGTGTGGGGAGCTGGGAGCAAACTGGGCACACAGCTCTCATAGCCCCAGCCTGAAACAGCTGGCTAGGAAGAGCCCTTCCCCTGTGACCTGGCCTAGCGCTACCATCCACCCAGGGCAGGGGCTGTGGGGCTGAGCTGGGGAAAGCGGTAATGGGGGCAGGGCTGGGAGGGGTGGCCACGTGGCAGTGGCACTAGGGAGGTTTTGAGGGGCTATGGCCACCCCAGTATTCACCCTATGAGCCCTACGACCACTGCCCGACCTGCCCCACTCCCACCTGCAGTGCAGCTCACCCTCCTCCCCCCCACGAAGAGGCTTGAGGTCTCTGGGATACCATGGGGGTTCTGTCTGTGTCAGGATCCTTGTCAGGCATAGCCAGACACCAGCCCAGCACGGCCTCCTGAGGCAAAGGGGCAGGGAGGGGGTTTATTCCCCCCACCCTCCCCTCTCCTCCTGGGGGACCCAAGCTGGGGTCTTCCGGGCTGGCGCACAGCAGCCTGTCAGGGGGCACTCCACTTGTGCAGAGGAAAAAGGCAAAGGCAGCAGCCAGGGCTGGCCGACCCCAACTGTGGTCCTCCAGTGGTCCCCTCCTTGCCCATTCACTTTAGTAGGCAATGCCAGGCAAGCATCTGGCCATGCTCTCACCTCTGCTCCGGCTAAAGATCGGAGGGGTGGGGCCAGCCCTGCTCTCTGGAGAAGTAACACAGCCCAACCCAAGGCTGCAGACCATGCTGGGATGCTAAGGGACTCTGATTTAACTTAAACCAGGAAAGGGTCTGGGACAGAAGTTCCATAAAGCAGTTTGACCTCAGTCAGTTATGTCTGCTACTACATTCAGGTTTATCTTAAACCAGTTGCAGCCATTTTGAAACTGGTTTATCTGCACTGAACTTCTGTTCTGTTACAGGTTTAAACCAGTTTATGATCACTGCTGCCCCTAGCCTTCAAAACTGTATCCCTGCCCCATATTTGTTTTTCATTCTCCTGCATGCCCTGGTCAATTTTCCTTTGTGAATACAGCATTGATATATTTTGTTACTATGCAGAACAAAGGCACAACTATATAAAAATATATTTAACATTATATCTAATAAGCAAAATTATGTATATGTTCAATATTAGCAAACTGTTACCATAGAAGTACCTTAATTTTCATATGTCCAGAATACTGAGCCTTTAAAATCATAATATTAGTGGTATATTATAGAATTGAGTGTGATAATTTTCTTTGACTTTTTAAGAAGAAAAGGATTTAAACATACACCTTTACAATGATTTTTGCTGTGTGCTTGTACAGCCAAAAGGCTCAGCAACTCTGGAATTCTGTAAAAATACTGGAACAAAACCATATCTGTATATGAAAATAAAATTGATATTTCACATTTGCATAATTTTCATAAATAACTATAAACAAATTCAAAATAACATAAACTACATTTTTCAATCTCTAATAACTGTTAAAAAATGCATCTATTAGTAAATTAGATGGGAACTGTTCCTACACTGAGCTCAAACCAACAGAATAGCCAGTAAAAAAGTTACTCTTTTTAAGACAAGTGTTTTAATACAGCATTTCCATATTTTTATACCACAAGCAGTGTTTTTTCTCCCTGATTTCAGTAACATTTTGGAACAGATCTTATATACACTTTCATGTTTGGAAAGTGGCCAGACATGGAACATTAAACTGAAACCAAGATTTTTTTTAGGACATTTGAGAAAGTGAAAAAAGAGGTTAATAGTGGTCTGAGTTTCAGATATTTTCTTTCTGACCAGATGCAAGGAAATAAATATAATATCAAAGGGACTCCAGGTGACTCATCCACTGTTCTACATACCCATTACCTTGATTAGATTTTGTGGCTCCCTTGTTCCTGTGGATTCTTTGCTTGTATGCCTCTCACACTGTTCCCCCTCCCCACTATCCCTCTCTCCCGCTTTCCCACCTATTGTATTCTGATCAACTTACTCCACTTCATACTGTGTTCTGTGTTGTCTTTTCACATCATCTGCTTAAGTGAATTCGGTTTCACAAAAGCATGTGAAGCAAAATTCTGTTATATATATATATCTCTTATTTAGTTAGTCTATAAAGGTGCATATCAACCCAACCTTCTGCCTGACTTCAGACTAATATAGCTAACTATTTCTTAACTTTGGCCATGTGCAGACGAAATGAGGTGCATGTTTGCATGACACATTAAAGAGGGTTAAATGCTTTTCCACCTTTTTAATGGTGGTGGTGTTTGCACGTGTCGGTGGCGTATTGCCCAGTTATTCCAGTAGCTGTAGCAAATTCAACAGCATAATGATTTGGGGCACAGCAAACCAAAACTCCTTCAAGGAGTTTCAGTTTGCTGCCCTACAGCTGTGGAGCGAAGCACTGTACTCCATGCAGCACAGGGGCTCTGCAGGAAGCACATGTAGGCAGCCTGGCAGCAGCCCGGGAAAGCAGGCTCCGCCCAAGATTTTTTTTTTTCTCTGGAGCCTGCCTGAGATGTGTGGGGGCCCAGTGCAGCCTCCATGGCTGCAGTGCTCCCCAGGAACACTCGAGCTGGGTGCCTGTGGGTGGGTGCCACTGGGGAGAGGTGCTGCCATCATGTAGGAAAGCACCAGCCCTCTCCCCACACCTTCCACCAGCCCAGGGACCACTCTGCCCACCGCCAGCTCACCCTCCCCTCCCTGCCACCAGAGAGGCAGGTAAGTTCGGGTGTGTGCACAACATGGGGGTTTAAAGGGCCCTAAATTGAAGCAGTGTTTTTAAAAACCACTTCAATTTAGGGCCTTTGTCTACATCTTTCAATTTTAAGTGAATGCTACATAGAGGAAAACGGAGGGTGCACAAGAACTTCCAAAGCAGATTTTAACTCATGCATTTTAAATACACAATCCTATTAAAAGTACAATAATGAGTACTTTTAAGTATGGAAAACTACATTTTATCTTTAAAGGGGGACAGAGAGGTGCTGCTTGGGATTTTGAAGCACCTGTTATGATTTAACTGTTCCAGCTGCATGATTCTTAAGCATACATGAGAAACAAAACCACTCCAATTTAGCCCTCTTCACTGAGGGTTAATATTAGGACAATTTAGCTAACTTGTATCACTACAGAATATTGCTTGTATCAGTATCCTATGATACTGATCAGTATCCTTTGTTGGATTTGTCTATACCTTTAGTATTTCAGTAAGCACCTTGAAGTCTGACACAGCACTCACTTGACTTGTCTGAGATATGCGACGTGTCCGGTTATAAAGAGCCATAGTGTCTCCTTCCCTTGTTCTTTCAATTCGCCATCCCCAAGCTAGCATAGTTTTCAAAGACTCCTTGATGGGCCACCGATAAATTTCTTTTTCCTAGGAAAAGCACACAGGAGGTGAAAGGGAAGCGACTGTCTTGTTAATTATGCACCACTCAATGGACTAAAATCTTCCAGACAGGTGTAAGAACACCACTACATTGTGCTGCACCTCAAATTTATATCAAGTGAGACAAATTGCAAATCTAACCTCTCTATATAATGACACAATTAAGAAATGATGCATGGATGAGGAGGCCAACAAAAAAGTAAGGAAAACAGTGCATCTTTGAATGACTCACTGGGTACATCTACGCATGTTGCTTACTGAGGAGTAGACTAGTCTACATGTCTACGTGTGAAGCACTATTAGGCCGGAGTAAACTAATTTACTCTGCCACAGAATAGTACTGCCAGATACAAGCACTGTTCTGCAGCAAAGTACTTTACTCCACTGCAATGCTGTGTGCAGAGGCCGGCTGTGGCAGCTTGATTTGATTTTGGAGCAGACATGGGTGCTGTAGTGTGGGGGCTGGCTACCAGCTAGCCCCGCACTATACCACCCTTATGCCCTGGTCAGCCCCTCTGCAGCATATTAAGCTGGAGGAAGTCACCTCAGGCTGGCAGGAGGACCCCCAGGTCCTCTGCCATCTGGGGCTGTGCTCAACTGCTGCGGTCCCAGGCGCTTGTCAAGATGCCACACCTGGGAGCAATAAAGTTTATTGCTTCATACTAATTTCAGTGTAGATGCCCCCACTGAAACCAAATCATATGGAAACATGACAGATGAATCTTTCAGCATCATTTAGGGGAGTTATGAAGAGGAAATATGGTCCTGCAGTACTCTGCGTATCATAGGTCTGATCCTGATAATGACAGTACTTTGTGCATACTCCATTATCACAAAGCCCACTTTGGCCTTGTTACACCTTATACACCTTAGTGCTAGTTTGAGTTTGGAGCAGCCACACTGTAGGACAGAAGGGGCCTGGAGGACTGAAGTGTAAGAATCCATTTCCCCCTGCCTCCTTCCCCCATTCGGGGCTTCCCCCTAATCCCTAGGGCTTCCCTAGTTCCTCCTGCCCCCAGGATCCCCCTCCCACACACACACACACCTCTTGAAGTGTTCCCTTGCCTCCTGCCTCCCCCCTGGCCCTGGGGCTTTACTTAATTTCTGGCTACCTGCACGGTCTGTCCCAGGAGAACAGGCAGGGAAGGTTAACCTGCCTGCCTGGTCACCACTTGCTGGGTTGCTCCTCTTCTGACCCAGGGAGCAGGAGCAAGACAGGCAGCTTAATCCTTCCATTTGCTCCCCTAGGACAGACAGCATGGAAAAACAGATTGTAGAGAGGCAGCAGCAGGGCACCAGACTACCAAGCGTAGACCCTGAGATGGTGCAGAGGCACTTGGAGGAACTGGATGCCTTTAAGTCGGCAGGCCCAGATGAGCTCCATCCGAGGGTACTGAAGGCACTGGCTGACGTCATTGTGCAGCTACTGGCGGGAATATTTGAACACTCATGGCACACGGGCCAGGTCCCGGAGGCCTGGAAAAGGACCAATGTGGTCCCCATTTTCAAGAAGGGGATGAAGGAGGACCCAGGCAACTATAGGCCAGTTAGTCTCACCTCCATCATAGGCAAAGTCTTCGAAAAAATTATCAAGGCTCACATTTGAGAGAGCCCGGCAGGAAAAATTATGCTGAGGGGAAACCAGCACGGGTTCATAGCAGGTAGATCATGCCTGACTAATCTAGTCTCTTTTTATGACCAGGT